CTTGGGAAGCATTTAGCTACAGTGCACATGGCAATGCAGGCCTGCTGCTTATATATGAAAGTCGCTTGGGAAGCATTTAGCTACAGTGCACATGGAAAATGGACTTACAGCCTGCTGATTCCACCATGTTACACTCACCGAGAAGTTTTGTTTCATAAGATAAATATTCACAATTTTTTATTTATCAGATGCTTTTATCCAGAGCAACATTCAGGTAAGGATGAGAGAACAGGGCCAGACTGTCCCTGGAGCAACTGGGGGTTAAAGGTCACGCTCAGGGGCTCAATGGTGACATCACCCTGCCAGCCACTAAAACTATAAGAGCCAAAGTTAACTGAAAATCATACATTTGCTTAGGTTCCTTGTTGACATGCTAAACCAAATTCCACAGTGAGACACATGACAACAAGCAGACGTGTTTATATTATGCTTCCTGTATGAACCCTTTCCCAGTCAGGCAGCATGCAGAGCTGCTCGGCTGCCACACACTCTGCAGGCCTACTTTCCATCAGGCCTGCTTTCCATCACTCACACCTTCTCCTGGCTGCTCCTGTCCAAGGGCCCTTCCCTGCTTCATGTGTCCCACTTCCCTGCTTGAAGGCTCTGGTCCTAAGTTATTATAACAGCTTCTGTACTAGTGTCTAGCTCTGCGATGCTCTAAGCTGGTGTTTATCAGCTGGTCCTCGGGGACCCAGAATCCCTCCATGTTTTTGCTCCCTCCGAACTCCCTGCCAGATGTGAACGCTCTGTACATCCCTGAGGACCGGACTGAGAAATGCAGCTTTAAACCATCGACCTGAGCAATTCCCAAGTCCTCTGTAACGAGCATGAGGTCACACTGGCAGTAGTGCACAAATAGAAGAATTAAATATAAAACATTATGATAAAAAGTAAAGGATATGCTACTCTGTGAAATTCTCTAGTGGAAATAATTTGATCTGTTTTTTTTAAGAGACTGACCTATGAAGTGTGTCGCTAAATACACTGTAAGCTACATTTCCCAAGATACTAATAAGCAGAGCTTACAAAGATGAACAACCTCCCTTCCATAGGAATACCTTGCTGCATGAGAGCTTACCCTGCTGCATGAGGGCTTACCCTGCTGCATGAGAGCTTACCCTGCTGCATGAGGGCTTACCCTGCTGCATGAGAGCTTATCCTGCTGCATGAGGGCTTACCCTGCTGCATGAGGGCTTACCCTGCTGCATGAGGGCTTATCCTGCTGCATGAGGGCTTACCCTGCTGTGTGAGAGCTTATCCTGCTGCATGAGGGCTTACCCTGCTGCATGAGAGCTTATCCTGCTGCATGAGGGCTTACCCTGCTGCATGAGGGCTTACCCTGCTGTGTGAGAGCTTATCCTGCTGTGTGAGAGCTTACCCTGCTGCATGAGAGCTTACCCTGCTGCATGAGAGCTCACCCTGCTACGTGAGAGCTCACCCTGCTGCATGAGAGCTTATCCTGCTGCATGAGGGCTTACCCTGCTGCATGAGAGCTCACCCTGCTGCATGAGAGCTCACCCTGCTGCATGAGAGCTTATCCTGCTGCATGAGAGCTCACCCTGCTGCAAGAGAGCTTACCCGGCTGCATGAGAGCTTACCCTGCTGCATGAGAGCTCACCCTGCTGCATGAGAGCTTACCCGGCTGCATGAGAGCTTACCCTGCTGCATGAGAGCTCACCCTGCTGCATGAGAGCTCACCCGGCTGCATGAGAGCTTACCCTGCTGCATGAGAGCTCACCCTGCTGCATGAGA